AATATATATATAAAGATATATATATATATATTATACAAGAATCAAGGTAAATCATATTTTATTAGGGAGAAGGTGAGGTTTACATCTAGTTACGTTTAAGGCTGAACAACAACTGACTAGCGTGGGTTAACAAAAGGTTGAGTTGAGTTGAGTCGCTGCAAGGCGCATTTACACTGAAGATAAAATACATGACAATTCTCTGGCGCTTAAATAAAAGGTTAATTATGAATTATTAAAATTTAAGAGTCAATACCGTATAATTAGAGATTTAATCTGATGACTGGTCCTTTTTCCCGAGTTGATCTCCTTAATTGCATTGGATTTCTCTGGGTTACAGGACTAGATACTGGAAGAGAGGAGGGTATGGTGGATGTAGAGCTGGATACTGGAAGAGAGGAGGGTATGATGGGTGTAGAGCTGGATACTGGAAGAGAGGAGGGTATGATGGGTGCAGAGCTGGTTACTGGAAGAGAGGAGGGTATGGTGGGTGTAGAGCTGGATACTGGACGAGAGGAGGGTATGGTGGATGTAGACCTGGATACTGGAAGAGAAAAGTGTACTGTCCTGGGCATAGAAAATTTTAAAGAAGGAGTTATTGATTTTTCAACTTGACAAGCTCTCGATTGGTTAAAATGACGCTTGATCAATAACCGTCGTCTAATTCAATGAGATAGTGAAGTCGTCCAAGTTTTTCAACAACAGTTCCATACTTCCATTTAGCAGATGATGTATAGTTGCGAGACTGTACTCTTTCTCCTAACTTGAAATTTTTGTTAAATTCTGGCTGCAAGGCATTATTTTTTTGTCCTTTAGTTGGTTTGATTAAGTCGAATTCACATCTTAAGTTTCTACCAAATAACATTTCTGACGGAGTTTTTCCATTGTTAAGTGGTGTTATTCTGTATCGGAAAAGTAGTTTGCATAATTTACTATGGAGGGAACCTGGATGATACTTCATGCATTTTAGTTTCGTTTTTAATATCTGGACAAAGCGCTCTGCTTGGCCATTTGTAGCTGGATAGCCAGGAGCAATAAGACGCTGTTTAATACCATTTGGCTTACAAAAATGTTGGAATTCTGCTGACTTAAAAAATGCGGCATTATCAGAAACTAAAATTTCAGGTAATCCATGACGACTAAAAATTTCTTCTAAATAATAAATTGCGTTATGTCTTCATAGCAAAAATTTCAGGCCATTTTGAAAGTGAATCCACAACAATTAAAAATTGATGCTCCATGAAGGGTCCGGCATAGTCGATGTGCACGCGTTGCCAATTTTTCTCCGGTGTTTCCCATATGTGAAGAGGTGCTTTCGCTGGATTTTTTCTTACATCACAGCATTCACGGCAACTTTTAACCATGTTTTCAATATCGGTGTCAATGTTTTTCCAATAGCAGTAGTTTCGAGATAGAGCTTTCATTTTCACAATTCCTATGTGTGTAGAATGTAGTTGCTTGAGCATTTCAGGTTGAAGAGATTTGGGAATGATTACTCGATTTCCGCTAAATAGGATTCCATCTTGAATGGTTATACTGGGATCAAACTTGTTTCCAATAACAATATCGTATTTTATTTTTCTAAGATCAGAATCAAGCTCTGTTTCTGTTTGAATTTGTTTTGCTGTAATTGTTTCAGTTGAAATGTAATTTATGATAAATTGCTGGAGTGCTTGTGATTCATCAGTACAGTTGACGTAATTAACTGGTAGTGGAAGAGGATTTCTTGAAAGGTAATCAGCATTTGTATGCTTTTCAGATTTTCTACGTATAATTGTGTAATCGAAACTCGAAAGAAATTGAGCATATCGAAGAATTCTTGAAGCAGTCATAACTGGGAGGCTTTTCTCTGGATGGAAGATAGCGCAAATGGCTCTGTTATCGAGAATCAAGGAAAATTTTCTGCCAAAAATATAATCGTAAAATTTTCTGCAAGCCCAAACCACAGCTGTAGCTTCACGATCTAATTGACTGTAATTTTTCTCGGCAACTGCGAGACTTCTGGAAGCAAAAGCGATAGGAC